ATATCTATAGACTCCTCACATCCTGGACATAAATTGTTTCAACTTCTACTCTCAAAACAATGCTATAGAGCACTGCACACCAGAACAACTAGACACAAGAACAGTTTTTTCTTGAATGCCATTACTCTGCTTAACAACTAATTCCCATAACACTGTCAAATAATTTACTAAGACTGTATTACTATTATTCTTCACTTCCTTATTAGTATCTATCTCTTCCCACTTATTACTATAACCATGTTGCTTGTATCTTTCAATTTATATCATTTTTATTGTTTTCTAGTACGATTTGATAGCTTATTACTAACCTTGACTATCACTAAGTGTTGTATTTTTTAAATTCTTGATGAATGTATTTTATTCTCCTTATGTACACTGAGAACATATACACCAAAGACAAATTCCTTGCTTGTCCAATTACACTTGGCCAAATAAAGAATCCTATCCTATCCTATCCTATCCTATCCTATCCTATCCTATCCTATTCTATTATTCATTAACATTCTTGTGATTCTTAAGGGAATGACGTCTTTTGCAGTAGCTTACATAGAAGTCTCCAAAGGGCAAATGTTCTGCTTATAATGTTCTGAAGCCCTTCCAAATAATTTACATAGCACATATAATTCTAATGGATGAAAAAAGAAACACCTGCCATTATAATAATAACTGCTTCCCTATGTTTTTCCATCCTTAGTTTTTTGTTTTTTTTTCCCAGTAGTGATCATAGCAAACTGCATCAGACAAAATATCCTGGGAAATGATGGGGAAATGTTGAAGACAACTTTTTGGCACAAGACCAGTTTTGCACCTCCTAAAAGTAATGTCCTGCCTTGGTTCCCATATATACAAATATTTGCATATGTCTGTGGAGATTCTCAGTCAGCCAAGAAGCTTCTTGGATGGGAAGTGAAATGTCTTCAAATAAAAACCAGAAAGTCCAGTTGCCTCTTGAAAAAGCACCTTTGGGACATTTGCATATGTCTTTCAGTTCATATTAAAACATAAATAAAGCAAAGTTCTTAGGTATTTGCAATAGCCACATTTAATACATATTTTTTCCCTAGGTTTGAGGAGGGACACATGGTTTTCATTTGTAGCAGCTAAGTATTAATAATCTCCCTAACGTTCAAAATTAGGGACATGGTGGCTCAGTGGCTAAGATGCTGAGCTTGTCAATCAAAACGTCAGCAGTTCAGCAGTTCAAATCCCTAGTGCCACGTAACAGGGTGAGCTCCTGTTACTTGTCCCAGCTTCTACCAACCTAGCAGTTCGAAAGCATGTAAAAATTTAAATTAGCAAAATAGGGATCACCTTTGGTGGGAAGGTAACAGCGTTCCATAAAGTGTGTGGCCCTGTTGTGAACCGGTAGTAAAGGTAAGTATAACCCGCCCCTGGAGGGGATGTGTGATAGGAATGATGAGAAGATTAATAGTAATAGTAACACAGACTTAGTGAATAGTTTGACAGTGTTGAGGGAATTATTTGTTTAGCAGAGTGATGGCATTTGGGGAAAAACTGTTCTTGTGTCTAGCTGATCTGGTGTGCAGTGCTCTATAGCATTGTTTTGAAAGTAGGAGTCAAAGCAATTTATGTCCAGGATGCGAGGATCTGTAAATATTTTCACAGCTCTCTTTTTGACTCGTGCAGTATACAGATCCTCAATGCAAGGCAGGTTGTTTTTTCTGCAGTTCTAATTATCCTTTGAAGTCTGTGTCTGTCTTGTTGGGTTGCAGAGCCAAACCAGACAGTTATAGAGGTGCAGATGACAGACTCAATAGTTCCTCTATAGAACTGTATCAGCAGCTTCTTGGGCTGTTTGAGCTTCCTGAGGTGGCACAGAAAGAACATTATTTGTTGTGCTTTTTTGATGACGTTTTTGATGTTAGGTGTCCATTTTAGGTCTTGAGATATGATAGAACCTAGAAATTTGAAGGACTCTACTGTTGATACTGTGTTGACTAATATTGTAAGAGGTGGTAGTATAGGAGGATTTCTCCTAAAGTCTACCACTATTTCTATGGTTTTGAGTGTGTTCAGTTCCAGATTGTTCCGGTCGCAACACGAGGCTAGTTGTTCAATGTCCCGTCTGTATGCGGATTCATCATTGTCTCGAATGAGACCAATCAATGTTGTATCATCTGCAAACTTCAGTAGTTTAACAGATGGATCGTTTGAGATGCAGTCATTGGGATATAGAGAGAAGAGGAGAGATCACACATCCTTGGAGGGCCCCTGTGCTAATTGTACAGGTATCTGATGTGATTCTGCTTAGCTTTACCTGCTGCCTCCTGTCTGTTAGGTGAATAAATGTGAATAGATAAATAAGTACCACTTTGGTGGGGAGGAAACATAAAATCCTGCTGGCCACATGAGTGCAAAAATGTATTTGGACAGCACTGGCTCATAGCCTGGAAATGGAGATGAATGAAGCTTAACTAGCATTTGACAATCCTCAGAGGAAAATATGTGGTTAAAATAGACACAGATTGCACTTCATTTATACAGTAATTGTATAACAAATACAGTAATTGTTAAAATAAAGTTATTTCCCCCACCCTACCCCCCCAATTTCCTGGAATGACCATGGAAGTACTTTTATTCTTTTATTCTACTTTTAAATGAAGTGGATCTATCATGATGCACAACTTTCTGACTGTTCCTGCTCCTTCAATGTCACTGTGTGAGTTATATTCTTAGGAGAATATATCCTATAACCAACAATCCCGTAACTGGTAAGACTATATTTCTAATAGACAAATGTGCATTCAGTTCAGTTTTGAACTCTGTGATTTATGCAGAACTGCAAAAAAAAAAAAAAAAAAGAGCCTTAACATTAGACTAGAATTTAAAACTACTCAAATAGCACAAGTGGTGATATGCATGCTGAAGTGGTTGCTTTCCTTTTTAAGGTTTTGATTTTGCAATGCCATTGACACCTGTAAATCGGCCCAGACCCCAGACATCAATAGTACTTTGTACACTGCTAATTGGTTCTTGTAAATATATAGCAATAGACTAAGAATAACATTATTGCTCTCAGACTTTTGCTGGAAACAGGGTTCATTTTCATGATGAACACTGTCTAGGACTCATTAATCTGCTTTTCTAATGAGCCAAATGTTAAGATTGGCCAAATTTGGGTTCCCTGGGACCTAATTAAAATCAGGTGAGAGTGCAAACATGAGCCATCAAGGTGTGCTTAATCAAAACAAAATGAAAAGGACTAATTAGAGAGACTGATGGCAATAATTAAGTTCCTTGGAGGTAGTAAACTAGTTAACTTAATTTTCCTAGGTGGTCAGGTTAAACAGTTTTCAACAATAGTGGAACATATTTAAATTTTCTCAGTTCTTGTATCACCACTACCTCATCTCAATTTCATTTGTCTTTCAAACAAGGTATCTGCAGGCTGGAATAATCACTTCCATTCCTTGAATATCATTTAATCATAATTCCTACGCTATTCTAATAATCACAAATGCTTTGAGGAAATAATTACAATATAATGGTTTCTCCAGAAGACAATTTAAATTTTGATCAGAGGTTAAAGAAGTCAGATACGATGCATTTCCCATCAATTTTCTTCTGGCACACTGAATCAATAGGGATTTCATATTTTCTCCTTTTTTTTTTTTTTAATTTACGCTAACATTTTAGTTTAATATTTTAGGACAATTAGTTCAACTGTTCAACTAGGCAACGAGTAAGTTATGTTATATGGCCTGTTTGTGCAGACTCTAAAGAAATGGAGGGAATAGGCTAATAATGAACTTGTCTCCCAGTCAATGTCATTGTGTCAATTGCCCTGTTTGGTCCCATTTTCAAATCCTGAACAGGCCATTTCAAAAAAAAAAAAAAATTGGTCTGCACAATTAATTTTGCATGCAGAAGACTTCATCTCATTATATGAAGCAATGTGTGTGCCTATTGACATACACACACATACACATACATATGGAAGAGAGAGAGAGGGGGAGAGGGGAAGAGAGACAGAAAGATCTTAACCATATCATTAATAAACTATAGTGATATGTCATGCTAGAGCAACAGATACTAGAAATGGGTAAAACAACCTCCAGTGTTCCAGAGATCATACAACACGTAGCCAAGGACAGAAAATTAACTCCTTCAGTTTAAATAAGGCTGCAATTCTTGTCACATTAACATTAATGTCAGTTAAAGAAATAAATTTTAAAAAAATATACATGAGAAAGTTAATAGTTATTCTCTGTTTATGATTACATGTCAAATTAACATGATCTTATACCAAAAGATCTTTTCCCAAGACATCTGTTTTCCTGGTTACCAATATCTCTATTTGCCCCGATGATTCTTCTGTAAAAACTGCCCATTGGGAAGATGTTAGAGGCTAATTTGTTTCTTTGCCAAATCCCAGAGGAATTAAGACTGTGGTTCATAGAAGCTTGAAAGCTATTGCAGTCTGGCAGGGAGAAAAACAAGATAGAAAAAGTTGCAAAATTTGAACCAATGGACATGATCCAGGCAGTTTCTCTTGGGTTGCATGTAAGCAAGTCTTCCAACAGTTCCTTTTAACCATTGGACCAATTCCTTGAAAGTTGGAAGAAAACTTTCTTTGGGCTGATAAGAGTCCTGTTTGTTATTCACGGAGAGGCCATCCTTGCCTGCTTTTATATTTTACCCAGCAGCTCAACTTCTCTGTGGTTTAATCAGGCTTTTATCAAGACACTGTGAATAACCATCATCTGATGAGGCAATCTTTTCTCTGCCTATTTTATTAAATAAAAATGGCTTCACTAGATCTCATCTTTTACTTACACCCTGAAGCCTGACTTTCTGTATTTCTTTTCCTTAAAAATTCACTCACCCTGTTTCCCTCAATCTGTTATTTCTAGCATAATATTAGTTTCACATTCAAAAGATCTCTGCGTAAAGCTTCTTTACTTTTGCCTCGAGCAATGCATTCTTTTAAAATGTAAATAATGTGAATAATACAAAACAAGAGGACAATGTTTTTTTTTAACTTAATATTTTATTTTTTGTAGTTGAAGCTGCTGAAGGACAAACTAAAATCAGACATTGCTCAATGAGAATGGTCCCTGGAAAGAAAAATAACCCAGTGGCCTTCCTTCATCTATGTAAGATCAATGGTTGGGTGAAGATTGGATCCTTCATGAAGTAACAATGTGGTTTAGAGAATAAGGCCACATCACATACAAAGAACAAAATCTCTGCAAGCATTGATAAAGAAATTCATTAAAATAGGGACCTTGAATAACTGAATAATTGTGCCATGCTTTGCACACCTGTTAGAAAGGACACCAAGGAGAAATGCAAAAAATAATTTAAAAAAAATCAGAGGAACAAGTCTCCTTAAGCTCTTGAGGAAGGGTAAACATGAATCAATTAATATGTATATATTTCAGTACAACATGCTGGACACTTGAAATAGCTTTTACACAGACTTGCTCAGTCCCTCTGGTGCTTGCCATCAGCAATTCTCGCAGAAGATTCCAGCACAGATCCAGGATTCTATTTACAGACATAAGATGGAACAGGAGAAAATGAAACAAATGAAATAGTGATCAAGTTTTTGCTATGTTACACTTGCAACGTAGCATTACCCATGGGTGAATTAATCTGAAACCTGAACATTGCCTTCGGGAAAAGCATTTTATAAAATTGTTATTCATATTCCATAGGCATAATTATTTCAGGGGTTTGTTTTTTTTCCACCAAACATATTTGACAATGTCACAAAAATACGTACTACATAATAGTAGTAAGACATATCATTTTGCATTTTAAAAATCCCATAGTTAGTCCTAACTGGGAAGAATAGGTAGAAGAGATTAAAATACAAATGTTTGAGATGAAAATGAACTCATGGGCAGTTCCAAGCAACTTTCATATTCTGACCCTTTTGAATCCAGTTCTAAATATACTCCAAACAGATCTTGGCACTTCTATTTTTAGACTTCTTAAAATATCATGGTATCTGTCCTTGAGAAAAGCTGCAAATTTCTGACTTCTTTTTCAAGCCCTGGACTGTGATGTTGAATGCCGGTATGGCGCTACCAATAGCATTTAAACTTATATACTGCTTCATAGTGCTTTACAGCCCTCTCTAAGCGGTTTACAAAGTCAACCTATTGCCCCCAACTATCTGGGTCCTCATTTTACTGACCTCAAAAGGATGGAAGAATGAGTCAACCTTGAGCTGGTCAGGATCGAATTCCTGACAGTGAGCAATGAGTTAGCCTGCAATTCTGCATTGTACCCATGTGCCATCATAACTCTAGTCTGTTTTGACTGGTGTAATTTTCTGTATTCCCTGGATGATAATTTTCTGTTTCTGTTTGTCCCATATGCTTTGAGTCATGTGATGATTTGGTGATTTACAGATCTATTGAATAATATCACCATAATGTTTCAAGGTCTGTAGAGCTGACAAAGCCACATCAGTCAGTTTATACTTGTTCTTTCGGACCAGGTATTAAGAAGATGAAAATTGTCAGCCAACCAATGTTTACTTGTCAGTGAATAAATTGCCTATCTCACTGCTAAGCATAAACATGCTTTCTGGTTAATTTTTAGAATAACGTAGAATAACAGAGAGTTGTATTCCATCGTGTTTATGTTACTGTCCTAGGCTGCTTTAAACACTGATGAGTAGAAGATTTTTTTAAAAACAACAACAACACCGTATAGCACTCTCTCATCCTATTTTCCTTAAAATAGCAAATCTGTGAGGATGTCTGAATTGAAAAATTATGACTGGCTTAAAGTTCATTCACTAAATTTCTACAGCTAGTTTTGGTCCAGTGCTAGGTTGACATAGTGTGAAAATTGGCATGACTTTTTACAAAAAAAAAATAGAGACTGTATTATTCAAGGGAAAAGTAGTTATGCTGGTTTACAGCTATTTGTTAATTAGTACAGTTACATTCCTCTTTCTTTTTAAGTGTACTAATGAGGCAAATGTTATCTTTCGGCATTTCATTGAATTCAATTGGTTTTTGCACACATAGAGGATTGTGCTATATAGAAAATGCTTAGATTCTATGCTTAGATTATGTGCATCTAAGCATGCACAGAATTGCTGAGCTGAGCCCAATATTTCCCTGTACCTGTTTTCATAAAATACAGCATTCATATATTGTGATTGTGTATAGCCAATCAATTCTGTTTATGTCCTTGTGTTCACCTTGATTTCAAAGCTCACTATTTTTTAAGACAATTAAAATGCAATAAGGCACTCATTAACAAATGAGTAATCTTCAAATCCTTGAAATTATAATACCAAGTGATAAATATCACTGTAGTACAATCAAATTCAAACCCTAATGCCATTTGGGTGGTAGAAATTCAGCAGGCTATTAATATTAACATAGAACAAAATGGCTTCACAAACACATTGTTCTGTGTGTAAGTTAATAACTATTTAAAAATAGCTAATCCTGATGTATATTGTTGATAGCAAAGTGAATAATGAAATAAAATGCAATAATCTCTGTATAGTGCAGAAAAGATATTAGCATCTATTAATTATTCAATGTCGCTTTTAATAAAGGCGAGACAGCTATTTCTAAATGATAGCCAAGCAATGTGATTTTCTTCTCTCTTTCATAGAGGTTAAATAATAACAGCAAAAGAGGAAACATATATTTATTATAGCAATATATTCTGATTCCATTTGCTGAAGCTATTAGGCCTGCCTCTCCTTTCCAAAATAGAAAAGAGGGCACCTTCAAAAAAGAAAAAAAAATGCTAACTTACTGTTGCAATGCAAGGACCAATTTCTGCCCTAACCAGGCTTTAGATATAACCATTATGATTTTGTATACAGAGTGAGTGGCACGGTGGTAGAGTGGTGAAGGTGCTCATGTCCCACTTGGAAGGTTGAGAGTTCGATCTTAGGTAGTTCAATCCTAGAGCGCAAAGAAAAAAAAATTTGCTATGACCTCCAGGTTGTTCTCACCTACGCTTCCTAGGTCACAATTAGTCCCAAAAACCCTCTTTTTTATTTCAACGGCTGTGAATTATGTTCATTCACAGCCCATAATGAGTCACAAATAGTTTGTAAAGAGTCCGACAGAAGTCCCCCACAGTCCTTCAGGATAAGGCTGATAACCACCCACCTTTATCTCCCTTGACACGCTGCCAAAGACCTAATTAGCAATTAGCTTTGCAAGGCCACACGGAGCACAGAGTCAAAATGGAGCTTCAGAATTTAAACCGAACAGAATGAACGAAGTTGCTTCCTGCAAAGGCTCATGTGCTTTTGCTCCTCGTTTATGTCTTATGGGAGGGCCAATCATCTCCAAGCCTTACTCCCGAGTTGTCCTTTTTGTCTTAACTGTTCTTGTCTTCTGGCAGCTCTGTGCATGCGCACACTGGGAACAGGCTAACCCCTGTTCTTCTGCCTCGCTGATGTCTGATTCTGGAGGCTCCGGAGGCAGCACATAACTTCCAGATGCCCCTGGCCCCCTCTCTGCCTCCGACGCAGAGCCCGCATCTGAGCCTTCCCCAGACTCCAGGACTGGTCCATTGTCCTCCCCAGCCAACTCTGCTGCCGCTCCACAGGCCGCCGGCAGACCACAACACAGGTGGTGTTAGGAAGGTCATCCAACCACCAAACGCTCAGCTCCATCCAGTCACCCTGATTCTATCCTGATTAAGAGATCACAAGGTCATAAAAGGGAGTTTTATTCTGTATATAGAAGGGAGGCTAAATATTTATTGGACTGGTAATAGAACTAAGTGGAGCATTGAATGTGCTTGGAACAAGACTATATACTGCCACAGCCATTCATTGCCTCTCTCTTGTTCTTCCAAGAAGTATTAAATTAAGTACTTTTTTTAAGTATTAAGAAAGAAGTATTAGGAACATTACAGGATGTTCCCATACAAACACAGGCCTATTACATTAAGCTTGTATATGGTGCGAACGACACAACTGTGAAGTATAAACCGTATAAGATTATGGTTTAGTATGTTGAGCAAATCCAGCCAATTCTCTGAACTGAGTGGGTGGCTTACTTTGAGAATCATTACTTCAGAATCACGTGCTGATCTGCTAGCTATGGAAGAGGATTCAAGTTTAGCTCATAAAAAAGATGATGTGGTGCTGAGAATGTAGCAAAAGATACAGGCAGAAAGATGGATAATTCTGGAATAATCTGGGGAGGGATATGTGTTAAGATCATTTTCATTAATTTAGAATTAGAATTAGAATTCTTTATTGGCCAAGTGTGATTGGACACACAAGGAATTTGTCTTTGGTGCATATGCTCTCAGTGTACATAAAAAGATACATTCGTTAAGAATCATAAGGTACAACATTTAATGATAGTCATAGGGTACAAATAAGCAATCATACTAGGAAACAATCAATATAAATCGTAAGGATTCAGCAACAAGTTACAGTCATACAATCATAAGTGGGAGGAGATGGGTGATAGGAACAATAAGATTATTAGTAATAGTAATGCAGACTTAGTGAATAGAGTAACTTACTATTTAGAGTAAGTTACTATACAGATTTAGATTCCATTCTCAAATAAGACCATTTAGGATGGCTTATCAATCAGTCAAATGCCCGCATAGTGAAATAGAAATAATTATAGCCTTGCCATTAACCAGCAGAAGACTTAAGAATCCTTGATCAACTGTCAAAGAGAGTTTACCCAGCAGTTAAAAAGGGATTACCAGCTCTGATCTGTAAGGTTCTAAACTAAATGTCAGCAGAGTTTTCTGGATCTAGACAGCTATTTGTCCGGAATGGTATAGAGCCTGGATTAGAAGACCTCCAAGGTCCCTTACAACTCTGTCATTCTGTCTTCTGTCATTCTGTTTTTTTTTTTCCTTACTGCCCTGAAATATAGTATTGTTCATCCAGGAAAGAGATCTCATTGGCTGATCTATGCACATGGTTTCTATCAGCCTTATGAAGTTTAGGAAGATTAATTTTTGATATGGATTTTTCTGTTGTATAAAGCGATGGATAGCCCATGTGGCATAGAGGTTAAAGTATTACATTTAAACTGCTGAGATCTATATTCAGCTCTGTCCTGAACCAAAGAAACTCCCTGGGTGACTTTGCACTTATTATATCTTTGTTTCAGCCCAACCTAATTGAGAGAGAGAGAGAGAGAGAGAGAGAGACAGACAGACAGACAGACAGACAGACAGATAGAATTCTTTATTGGCCAAGTGTGATTTGACACACAAGGAATTTGTCTTTGCATATGCTGTCAGTGTACATTAAAAAAAAGATACATTTGTCAAGAATCATAAGGAACAACACTTAAGGATAGTCATAGGGTACAAATAAGCAATCAAATCATACTAGGAACCAATCAATATAAATCATAAGGATACAAGCAACAAAGTTACAGTCATGCAGTCGTAAGTGGGAGGACATGGATGATAGGAACAGTGAGAAGACTAATAGTAATAGTAATGCAGCCTTAATGAATAGTTTGACAGTGTTGAAGGAATTATTTGTTTAGCAGAGTGATAGCATTTGGGGAAAAAAATGTTCTTGTGTCTAGTTGTTTTGGTGTGCCGGGCTCTATACCGTCATTTTGAGGGTAGGAGTTGAAACAATTTATGTCCAGGATGCACAAAAGCATAATCATGTTGGGGAAAAAAAGAGGGCATTCTTTGATATAAAGACATATCAACTAAGCATATAAAATTCTAAACTAAATGGTATTATATGGTATCAGCTGAATCACTTTTTTAACTTGTTCTGTGCAACTATAATCTTTTGTTTAAAGCTTGCTCTGTCTTTGGCTTATGCAAACACTAATAAGACTAAGTGATATTAGGATTTTAGGGGGTGGGGGGAAGCATAACAGATCAGAAAGGGTATGCAGTAAGACTATTTAGGAAGACCAGGGCAAAATATTGTGGATTCTAGACAAGGGCAGCAAAGTTTTGGAAGTAAACAACAGTATCAGTCTTAAACAGTAAGACCTTTTCTCTGGACCTTTTCATTCCAACTGCTGCAAGCCAAATTCAGTTGACAAAGTTTATTGCTGATATGCCTGACTGCAAGATTACATTTGTCAGCCTCAAACAAAACAGAATTCCAATGAACTTTCTGATTCTGACAAAGACCTATGTAAATGTAACTTTATGCTAATTACTGTAGCATTTGGGGGCTTTAATGGATCAAAATGCACCAAAGTGGAAGTCCTGCAGGTTTGCCATAATGACAACAATTATTGTCATTTAGAAAGATTGAACTGTTTCATTTAAGCAATTCGGACTGCCAAAATGCTGAAAGTAAAAATATCAGTAGTGGTTAACTGTAATGATTTTTTTTTTTTTAAATCAGGATCATTAAGCAGAAGGATTATTTTAGGAGCTGATGATAAAAACTATAGTGATAATGCATCTGTTTAGTACTCATGTTGAGATGTAGCCAGGAATGCAACTATTAGATTAAACAGCTTGTGGTTTAAAAGAGGCGGTTTCAAGTTTAATCATTTATGTATTAACCGCAGAGCAGAGAGCTAACACTGAGAGCTGTTTTGCACTCCATTGTACTGCACAGTAAAATTCTTATTGAATCTTGGTTATAGCTTCATTTTAAGAAGGCTTACGTTGTAAGAATGGTTCTTAATGTCTACATGCAAGAGGCCAAAAGAAATTCTGCGGGTTTAAGATCTTTTTCTTTCAAACTAGCTTTCATGAATCTTCTCTGGATAAAAGCCTGATTGATTAAATATATCTATAAGAAATACATTTTGGGGGGAGGGGGGAGGATATCCAAATGAAATGTAAATAAGTCTTTAAACAAAAAGTACAGATTCTTTTCAAGAAATCTATAAGGCTCGAACAAATAGTACTTTGATGGATAACTATGCCAATTTGATATATTTAAGTACAGATATAATTGTTTCTTATTATATTCTATTGTATTTTTGACCTACCCTCAGTTGCATTGACACAATACATTGAATAGGGTAGATCAGAGTGGAGCAAAGCGAAGCGAAGTGCAATGGAACGGAATAGAATTCTTTATTGGCCAAGAGTGATTGGATGCACAGGGAATTTGTGTCCAGTACATAAGCTCTCAGTGTACAAACAAACAACAAAGTGATATAATCATAAGATACCAATAGGAGAAGAGGTGGTAGTTTTAACCTTTGTTAGTTCTTTGACCGAGTATTCTTTATGAACCAAGATCCTTTGCTTAATTTGTGCTTCAAGCTGAGAAAAACAGATTAATTCTGCAAGCATGCTAATCATGTATGAACACAAGCATTGTCTTTAACTATGTCTGATCAGGCCATGTGTGTGTACACACACACACATGTATGTATGTATGTATGTATGTATGTATGTATGTATGTATATAACTTAATTTTATTAAATAAAAATACTTTATTTTTTCACACCTTCTTTGTCCATAGTATTGTAGTAATATCTGGGAATGACCTTGAGAGACCAGGCAAAGAAATGCTGCCTAGGGAACAGTCAGATAAGAGAGAGCATAGTCTTATGTATGTTAAATGAAAAAGTACAAATAAGCTAGATATTTAAAAAAAAGAGAAAGAGCATAGCCCAGAGTTGTATAGTGGGTAGAGTAGGAGCCTCAGGAGGGATCATCCCTAAATTATCAAGCTTTAAGGATGACAGCAAGAGAATTGTATGTTCATACTTGCAAGAATCTGTTAATGTGCCTTTACAATAAATAGAATTAGCTTATTTGACTGTGTTTCCTGTCTTATCTACCTGGTAAGGGTGACAGGTTTTCTAGATGGCATATTTAACAATTTCCAGTTTGCCAAATGTATCCAATGCAAGACAAATCACAATTAAAAAAAAAGGGTTTTCTTGTCATGACTTTATTTTAAGCATATTTTCCCACTTCGTGGGGTGTCAAGAGAAATTTTAGCTACTCAGGTGTTTTGTA